CAAGACAGTAGAAGAGTTCCTGAACGTTTGGGATTTCCCTGGTGGGAAACAGGGAGAGAAAAGAAAGCCTGATAGAATAAAACTGTAATTGCTGTTGTACAGTATTAGCTTCACATCCCATAGCAACAGATCTTATTATATTTTTTTCTTATTTAAACCATTTTCATGAAGGTTGTATTGTTAACTTGGTCCAGATGACTGATCAAAGCATAGTTTGTTAATTGCCACCTTGCTAAAATATTTTTAAATGCAGTTTTAACACTCTGTGTTTATCACTACATATTGCCATTAGGCTATTGAGTCTATTACTAGTCAATCAAGGATTTTCATTTTGTTTCAAGAGCTCCTTGGATAAACGCTTTAGAAGTGTGAAAAGAGTTGGAGTATCTGGCACCTTTTCGCAGATGGTATTCATCAGGTATTTTAGTTAATGGATAAAGTTTCAGTTTTCCGTATTTGACTTTTGGCACTAAAACAAGTTTTCTAAAGGCTCCTGCTCCCTCAAATGCTAGGAGATAGTGAGATGAAACCAATAACACCCCAGAACCCATTATTCTTAGGTAGGTAATCAGGGAGATGGCAGAGTATTTCACTGGGTCCAATTAGCTAAGGAATGGGATGTTTCTTGAAGAAGACCAATTCGACTTACCCGGCAGCTCCAAACCTATGCATGTACTATGCCTTCGCCACTCCCAAGAACTACAACAAACAAAAACAAATAAACAGGAAAAACTGAACAATCACATCAAAAGTTAAATACTCAACTGGCTGGCGCATACTAGGCTCACATCTTCCCTCTTATCTGTTCCACATTAGCCTCTGCCCTCTCCATCCATTTTTACACTCATATACTTCTTTGACACACATTTACTTATAGCTAAGACATGAGACTCTGCACTAGATGGGGAGTGCAAGGGCAATCCACACACAGTGCTTCTCTCAAGAGATTTTCAACATAGTGGTGGAGAAAGCCAAGCCAACCTGCAGTTAGTTACCATGGGTTCAGGTAAGTGCTGTGATGGCAGAGACCCCGGGGGTGGCTACAGGATTCTGCCGAAAGTAGTGGAAGAGTTGGGCTTAGGGACGTTGTCTCTGGAAGTGATGGCATTGAAGCTAAGACCACAGAACTAATGAGTATAGTTCAGATTTGAGCAGAGAGTGAAGAGCAGGACCAAGACAGAGAACAGCATGTCCCAAGGCTGGGACAAGGAGATCGGGAGGTGTGACTGTGAAAGTAACTAGCGGTCACCTAACAAGAGATGCCTAAGCATATCAGAGACTTAGGATCTTTTTCGGAGTTTAGCAGGAGCCTCCCAGGAACTTGAATTCAGGGAGGAACAGAAATCTGATGTCACTCAGGCTATGGAATGTGTTCAGTGGGAGGCGAGAGTGCAGCGGGAGAGCTGTTAGGAGGTGAAGGCCCCAGAGAAATAAGGTGGTGCCTGGAAGAAAGAGGAAGTAGAAAATGAAATCTGATTAGATTTGTCTCCACAGTCATGACATAATATAGTAAAAAGAGTATAACACAGTTAGCCAAAGGCAAAAGTGTCTGATCAGCAGTTTGGTAGACATTGCAAAGGAAATAAAAATGGGCCTCAGTGAATTGCTAAATGAGTCCCTGAGTTCCCAAGTGCTGTGCTGTGGAAAGCAATCCCTCTCCAACTCTGTCTTAGTTTTCCTGGGTTTCTAGTTTTGCCTGCCCAGAAGATTTGCTGCTTCAGGCTTTTGGCGGGCACCTCAAGCATCTGAGGCTACAGGGCTGTGGAGCATTATATATGGGATGACCTGGTAAGTTTGCCTAGAGTTATTTGAACAAATAGTAGCCCCATCCAATCCTTGTTACAAACTTCTGTAGTTTTTCTTTCATTGACTATTAGGGAGCGTTACTTGTGACTTCCTATCCTTCCAGACCCTTCTTTATGTGTAAACTGATATAATTGGGTGAGGATAAAGCTAGGTAGTGCAAATTAAAAAAAATTTTTTTTTTTAAAAACCCATTTTTAATTTGACAATTAAAGGATCAGGATTGGTCAAACTGTTTTTATAGGAGAGAACACCAGCAACCAGCCTGTAAGAAATCGGTCACAGTTTAGGGGATATGTTACAAGCAAGATAAATAAAAACGGTCTAGAGTATCAGACCAAACTCTCATTTTTCATCTCTATTTCACACTCTTCTCTTCCAGCCCAGACTAATCAAAAGAAGCCTCTTCCGCTCACAATTGCTCTGTGTACATTTCCCCCAGATCTGGTATTCACATGAACAACGTGGTTTATTTATATTTCAGCACCAAATTGGAAAGATGACATCATTCATTTACAGTCTTTATCCCATGACATGCCTACTCTCCAACACCTCATTTTAGCAGACACATTTAGGACTGCATATAGCATCTTGTTTAGCTTGTACATTCTTTTATGGGACACAGTTCAAAGGTAGGGAACTTTAGGCTTGTTGCTGGTAAGAAAATAATCTCATAAAATCACAGGAGCTTCCCCAAAGGATGAGGATATTACGATGTTTACAATAGCAGAATTATTATTTGTCCATTTAGGCTCCATCCTTCATTCTTGAGTGAGTCCCTTCCTTCTGGTCCACAGCAGATCTCACAGCTTCCCTGAGGCTCTCTGAATTCTATTTAGAAGAAACAATTCCAGATTTATTAGTTCATGAGTTCAAAAGTACAGGTTCCTGACGATACTGGAATTTTAGGTGTGAACGCCAAATTTCAGAATCTCATGTGCAATGGCAGGCTGACTGAGGGGACTCTCAGACCTTAGCTTGCAGCAGCACCACTGACCTGCTCTTTCTCACAAGGCATAACTTGCCCATTGGGTCTTCTGACACTTTAAGTGGACAAGTGAAGGATGGAAATGCTTTCAGCTGCCAAAGGTTGCCTGGGATTTTTTATTTAATTTTAAGTGGACCGTTCCCTCTATTTTTATTGTTTTTATTCATATACACAGTTTTTTTTTAACATTCACTTTGGGGCCTTTCAAATATTGTACACATTTTTTTTAAATGGAGTGAGTAAATCATGAGACATCCTCTGGCAGATAGAATTGGGATGTGAGGTGTTTCCAAAACTTAACAGAACCAAAGCATTTTATGGGAAAGTTCTTTCTACCTGTTTAGCTGTGTGCCTTTTCTGCTAGCAGCAAGACAAGGAAAAAAGTCTAGAGACTGAGAACTGGATGACCCAGAAAATCTCCATGTTCTGTGTCGAGAAAGAGACTCTTGGGGCTGAAATCTATACCTTACTTTTTCTATCTGCCAAATGAGGACAGTAATAATTGCTCCTGGGAAAGTATTGAGAATAAGTTAGATTGTATGTGAAAAATATTATAAGAATGTAAAATGTTAGGTCCAGACTTTCTTTATTGTCATTGTATTATTTATATTACATAATAAAACTCCAACTGTTTGGAGGCTCTGCCAACCCCTAACTTCTAGCTCTCTGAAAGTACTGATGGTTCATTGTCATCTTGAGCCACCAGTGGGATTGTTATGGCAACTCATGAAATGTCCTCAACTCCCCATGAGCTTCCCTGCTAAAAACAAACATGTAGCTTGTCTCTAGGATGGAAACATCCCTCAAAATCAGGGCCCCTTCATTCTTTCAGTCCCTTATTACAGGAGGATGTATTGTATATCTACACCTGCTAGGCCCTATGTGAGATTCTGGGGAGGGGCATATGAAAGAAATAGCTTCAAGGTCTACGGACACATGGACAGATAAATCTGTGGTTATAGAGCCATGGTACGCAGGAGGCGCATGTCACCCAGCCTCGAGGATAGAGTCAGGAAAAGTCTCCTAGAGTAAATAGTTTGAGTTAGCCAGACATAGAAGTTAAAGGTGAAAAAAGAGGGCCAGGGAGGCATTGCAAGCAGAGGAAGAAACACATACAAAGGAGGAAAAATGTCTTGCAGCAAACAACAGTAATAACTATAGTGACAGCATTTGACTTTCATTGCCAGTTACTAGACTGACACTTGAAGTCCATCACATCATTTGCCCCTAGCAGCAACCACAAGGAAAGAGGCACTATTACTCCCATTTTAGAGCTGAGGAAATTAAGGTTTATAAACAGTTTAGTCTCTTAAGGTAACATAACCAGCAAAGAGAGGGAGCCAGGACTTGTATCCAGGCAGGTCTGTTCTCAAACCCACATTTCCTGACTTTCTGTGCTGGATAATTTTATTTGCTTTTTTTCCCATGGTCTTTAGACATTTTTCTAGATTCTGAGAGCCTATCAAGGTCAGTTCCTCACTGGTCCATTTCTTGCCCTGCATAATAAGGCAGTACACTTCTATGGCCCTGGGGATTTAACCATGACTCTGAGTGGCCTCATGTGACAGGCATCATGGATTGTAAATTAGAATGGTCAGTCCTTCTTACCTTGTGCTCAGTTCCCTCAAGGAACAAAATCAGTTAGAATGTCCATAGAGAGCCATTTCCTAAGAAGTCATCATAGCAATAATCCATCTCCATCAGTATTTTTTGCATTTGGCAGCTTTTGAGTGGATTTCTCTGTCTTGTCTTGTGAGAGTATTGTTTATCTGCAGTCCTGTGTTTTCACCCAGCCCTTCACATCTTTCCATCCAGGGCTTCCATCTCCATCTTGCTCTAGAGTTTCGGTCTAGAATGTCAGTCATGATTGTTGGTACTCTGTGAATGCAAGCTCACCCTGGAGCTCCATGATTGCTTGATAATGTAAAGCAAAGCACCTTAGAGTATGTCCATTTTTTCCCTTTTAAATCACAAGGAGGAAGTATATTAACATCTACAGATGTAACATAATAGCTTTAAGGATATGACAAAGCTTCTTTCATCAAAGTTAATGGCATGGTGCTTTCTTTATTAAGTTTCAACTTGACTAAGAGTGAACATTTCTGGATTAGGAACAAAGGGATCCCTATAGGTACTATAATTATGCCCTGAATCTTTGGCTGATCTTCTAGCTCCTGATGGAATCTTCCTTGGTTTTTGTTCTGCACAGACCCAGAACAGAATGAAGTTGATGGCAGACAACTACGATGAGGATCATCACCATTACCACCACCACCACCATCACCACCACCATCGATCTCCTGGGAGGTCGCAACATTCCAATCACAGGCCCTCTCCGGACCAGGTCAGTTTCTTTGCTGCTTACCTCCAAGACCCCTTTTACCCTTTGGATATTTTAAGATAAAATAAATAATCCTCAAGAAATAATAAACAGCATAAAGTGATATGTTCTTTGAACTGAAACTAATAGCTTTGGTATTTATTTCCATCAGTCAAGGAATCTAAATGTTTTTCTTTCTCCTTCCTCTTTAAGGTTTTGTCTTTTCTTATTTATGTTATGCATTTTCTTTCCTCTCCTCCTTTCTTCTTTCACAGATGCGTAGTCTATTGCTGGCTGGGTATCTCATGGCGGGTTACTTTGGAATGTCTCTTTCAGAGTTTTAAGAGAAAGCACTTTGTTTCCATGAGCTTGGCAACCAGAGAAGCCTTGAGCTCTCTGAGCACTTTCCTAGAAAATTCTTTAGTGATGCAAATTAATGGTGGGGTAAAACAACAAGGAGAGAAATCCGTTTTGCTGGCATTTTAGCCAGTGAAGTCAAGGAGTCTGGTTTATTTGATTTGGACCCTATCTCCTCCCTTGACTAAGTAAAGCACGTGAAAAGATGGATTGACAAAAACAAAACCGCCTGTGGTTTTACAGCAATATTTACATTCACCTACCAAATGTAAAAACAATTTATAGTGTTTAGTATTAAAACTCTTGAAGGTGAATTTTATAGAAATTAGGAAATAAAATGCAAACTAGCAGGTCAATATGAACACTATTTCTTACTTTATTGTACTAAGATTCCCGCCTACCCCCACCCCCTTTTTGGTGACCCTAGTGTAAGTGATACATTTCCATAGATGTGAGCAACAGGTAGCAAAATAGAACCATCTGGATAAGTATGTACTCCTTTGGATATGGCAGGGTGAGGGCTTGTCAGAATTACCTGTGTGAAGAGGCAGTTTAATTGTTTGCTAGGGGAGGAGGTACTTGTGACACTCTTAAAACGTTTCAGGTAGCTCTGTGTCCTTTTCACCTCCTGATGCTAGCACCGCAAAGAAGTTTAGATTCGAAGTTACCAAGATGTTGTACCCAGAGTAAAAGTCCTAGGGGAGCTGTTTATATAGGACACAGTGTTAGAAGTTCTCCTGGGAGCTGTGCAGCAAGGCAGCCAGCACTAGGAGGCTCCCCAGCCCCTGAGCATGACCTGACCTTTGTACCTGGAAGCATTTGCCCTCAGAGACCCCAATGCTGCTGAAGCTGTTCACACAGAAAAATCTAGATTTCTGAAGGCAAGTACAGAGAGGCTGTGATTTCATGTTTTCAGCCCTCAAAATATGGCTCTTGATTTAGAGATCTGAAATGCGGAGAGAGGTGTTCATTTCATGTCATTATCTTGTATGTCTGTGTTTTGGTTTTGTTTATTCAATTCCCATCCTTTGCCATCACCACCACCACCTCCCCACCTTTGCCTGCCCCAGTAGACCTGGCATCCTGCTAACTAAATCAACTCGCTCTCATTCCTGGTCCCTGCCCTTTTCTCCTTGGCATTCTCCCAGGAAGGGTGAGTGTGAAGTTTTATTGGTGGGAGCCTACAGTCCCCACTTTGGCCATTCGTTCTGAGCCACACATGCTGGAGGACCATCTTGAGTTCCCCCACTCAAACCCCAATAGAGAGCACTATAAGAGTAGAAAGAAGGATCTGGAGCCAAGTCAGGGGAGTGGGTCATTCAGGGACCTGCTGGGATAACAAACCAGCTTATCTCATCACAGAGACACATATGCTCAGATGTTCTACTGGGAATGAGGCACCAGAGCAAATCTATCTGTCTTGTGAATGATATTTATTACAAAAGCTATTCTTCTGCTACTTCTCCAGAGAGCTGTAATCACAAACTAGGGTGTCTTGACTACTTGGTTGACTCTCGTGTTTGTCCACTGACACTAGAGGTTGTCACAGGGTGGTGTCCTTCCCAGAAGAGTTGGCATTCCTTGAAGAGTGTCTGGCTAAGGCATGTTGTTGAGACCTTTGCCACATGTTTCTCACTGCTACTGTTAGGAAGATGGTGATGGTCTTTCACTTTCAAATCTAACATCTCAGTGAACACTCTAAGCAACCCATGGACAGAGAGGCAGTTCACTTCATCACCGTCTCCAGATGAGAAATCCAGGGCCCAGGAAGTGGGTGAATAGGCTGAAATCTTGTTCTGAGGTCCTAACCTAATTCCATGGCAGCTGCTATGTGGGATTTGGGGAAGAGCATGATGGGCAGAACCCCTGTCTTCGAGGCATTTGCTGTGTAGTCCTAGAACAAGAATCCAAGTCATCTGATGTCTTGTTCAATTCTTTTCTGGTTCATGCCAATCAGAACAAGACAGATAAAAGGTAGCTCCAACTTAATTAGGAGTCCATACCTTAGAAACTTACTCTGTAGTAGGGCTCACTGTGAAAGTAAAATACCCTAGACTAGAAGGATATTTTTGTGGTTTTAAATGGAAGTCATCAAGTCAGTAAAGCTCCTTTGCTGGGCTCCTTCAATTAGAGAAGGAGAGGTTAAGCAAGGAACCCTGGTGTGAGAGTAGATTAGCACTAGTGCTAGAGATGGCTATGTCTCTTGAGCTGGATGCCCTTTTTGACTGGGCATCCCGGGTCTAGTGAAATGTACTAGAAGATTTGAGATTTGGTAATCAATAACTAATATATCTGTATATGTACTGTTATAAATCTAAGCCCAGAGTAAAATAGTTATCAATAGATAATAGTTATCTTTCCCAATTGATTAGAAACCCTACAGTTAATTGTGTAAACCACATAGACTAATACAGACAGGGTACATATGAGTATGTTTCTTCTTAGGAGAAAAATGGCAGCCATATGACAGCATGAGAGTCCCAATAATGGGGTGATATGGATGAGATTTTAACTAAATGTTCATAATGTATTCATGTTAGCTGACCTGACTTAAAGGGGAAAGGTCTCTTCCAGGGATTCCTGATTCCCTTTCCGTGAATCTTCCAGCCCTAGCCTTCCTGTGGCCCTAAAGGTTTGACCAACAGTGACTTTTGGAAGAAGGGCTACAAAATGTTGACATTGCTTCTTGAGTTGTATTAAGAGATCAGAACACATGAAAATGGAGAAATATGAAAAATCAGTTGCTTTCCTACTTTTCCAGAAAAACTCATTTTTCCTTAGGTAATTCAATTTAGTTGTTGCCAGGTACTTACAGAATTATATTCTTTTTCCATTCCTTCCATGTTCCTTTCTCTTTCACTATGATTTTTCTTACTCCTTAAGAGAAACTGAATCCAAGTATTATTAGTCTAGACTAGCATTTCCCAAAGTAACTTTTAGAACATTAGTCCCATGAGGAAAGTCTTGAAACAAAGATTCTCTGGGCAAAGAATTTTGTGAAAGTGCTGCATATTATAACTCTATCTTTGAGCGTCCTGGAACAATTAGCAGATCAAAGGATCTAAAAAGTCATATAAGAAAGAAAGCTCTCCAATTTAACTTAATCCAGTATTTCCCAGACTGATTTGATTGTAGATTTCTTTTTTCTTTTCTGTAACATCTGTGCTCTGAGAAACACTGTTCTCAGAGTATCAGGTGAAAACAGAGACTGCCCATTTTAAAACATGACTGATTCAGTTTCCAGCAGTATTTTTTATCAGAAGGTGGAATTTTCAGGCAACTTCATGCTTTGCACAACAGAAAACAGAAGTGCCTCTTCCATTCATTTCCTGGATAACCTTCTTAAAGGCTATAATATCTGAGAATGAGTGATCCCACCAAGAACTCAGTAGATCTAAACTAAGGGAGTCATTAAGGTTGAGGACCCAGGATATCAAGAATAGTCATAAATACACAGCCCTTCAGGGATTACAAATGAGTGTGATGAAAGGGTGGGAGGATTTGGAGAAGATGCAAGCGAAGTCAGTGCTTTGTGGTAGTCCAACAATGTAGCTCCCTACCAGAGAGAGAAGCATTTAATAGCTGATAGGCCGTGACCCCCAGGATGGCCACAGCCATTGAATATGTCCAAGTAGAATATCCAGACAAATCCCAATAATGACTTAGGAAATCCCTCAAAGCAAGAAGTGGCCATGGAGACACATTCGAGACTTTTTTGTGGTTACCAAGGTTGATTTCACAAAGCCAAGTAGAAATTGAGCTTTTCCTAAATGTTCCCTGTTCCTGTTGTCATCAGTCTCATCTGTCATTTTCTTTAAATAGCATCGTTCCCTGCCTTAAAACCTATCAATGATATCAAGTCTTTCTGCTTTCCTTTTTTAGGCATCATATACTTTTTACTGTCCTAGGAAAAGTCACATTTTATGAAGCTCATTCCAGTGGCTCCCAGGTATAGACTAACCTGGTCAGTAAGAAAAGGCCAGCAGCAGCATGCCCTCTACACTCCAGCAAACTTAAAATGCCAGGTGCCGTGCAGGCTACCCTTTTTGCATTTAGGACTCACATTTCTGTTCCTGGGTCTTAGGTTGGGTGTTGGGTCTTCAAGGGCCTTGATCTCACTGCTTGTTTGTGCAAAATGTACTGCTATTTGTTAAAGCACTTGCCACTCTGATTCTAGTTTGGAAGGGCCTAAATGGCAAAGAACCTAACATTTCAGGGCTGAAAACCCCAGAATAGGTGGCCACTTTTGAAAGCCCAAGAGAAAACTCTCCTTTCCTCTTCCTCTTTCATTAAATGGAAATACTTGCTCATAGGTGTTGGAGAGCTCGAGGGATTTTGACCACCTTTAAGGCTTTCTGATCATATTTAAATTTTACATTTTACTTACAGAAAACCTTCTAAACGAGGGCTATGAGTTTAGGAGCATAGAGACATGATACTTACAAGATCAATTACAGAAAAATTTGGTTGAATTTCCCATTTTATATTTGATTATTTGTTGCATGTTCACATGTGTCTCGCCCTTACTAGGTACTCTGTATATGTCTTTTGAATGAACTGCTCCCATAGTTGCTTCAGGAAATAGGAAAGGCAGATGGAAGTATCCCCATTGTATAAACAGAGAAACTCAGAGAGGTTTTTAATGATCCAGAGTCACAGAACTGAAA